GACTGGTGGGTTGATTACTTCTGGTTCTGAGTCTGTTTCAGAGTCATCCCCTTCCGCCAACTATATAGGCTCTTCATCCTCTTCAGGGTCCTCCTCTACCCATCCTCCATTGCCCTGATTCGGGTAGTAAGGATCCCCTGGTGGGGGGAATCCAGCCATAGCGTCTGTGCAAGAATAGAGATATGAGAATTGTCTAGAAATTAATACATGTAAGTCTAGACACGTAAGTTAAACTCTTGTATTTACCAAGTACTCCTATAGTTTTTAAGTTTATAGGGTTTTTGTCATAAAAGCCCCCATATTTACATTAAAAAAAAAAAAAAAAAAAAAAAAAAAAAAAACCGGTTATGCCCAAAATCGATTTTTTTTGCCACAGATGCCTAACATTTGCCCCTGATGTTTCATTTAATGTTTTTTACCGGTTCCCCTTAATCAACCGGTTACATCCCCATTTACAACCGGTTACATCCCCATATGTAATACTAACTCAAATGTTAAATTCCATTTAGTGAAGCATTCTCATTGTCTGAAGCTAGGGTTTTTAAAAAGGTAAGAAATTACGGTCTGATCATGGTTTTTACGAGAAATCATCTCTGTTAATTGCTTACTTTTCATGATAATGGTTGCGATTGCACAGGGGTTAGAAATGGGTTCTTTAGACGATGGTTATGACGACCCATTTGCTGGAATTTACGAGCCATTTTCTGGGTTAAATGAGATGGATTTTGAGCTACACGGGATTTACATGGATCGTGAACCACGACAGGAGTTTGTATCAAGGCTTGATAAATGTAAGGATCATTTTCTTAACATTCTAATTTCTGATGCGAACATTAGAAATGAAAGTATGACTGATGAGGTGAAAGATCGAGTGGACCATGATAATGATTTGCAAAATGATGAGGAGGCAGAGGAAGAAGTGACTAACAAATACAGAACACGTGATCCAAATGTTAGGTGGGATAAGATGGAACCTAAGTTAGGGGACGTGTTCGAATCACCTGCACATCTGAAATTTTGTGTGACAAACTATGTAGTAAATGGAGGGTACGAAATATACTTTGAAAAGAGTGACAATAGAAGAATTGTTGCAAGATGTGGTAAGAGACATGAAGATAATAAATGCCCTTTTAGACTTTATGCAGCATGGATGTACAATGACAGAACCTTTCAGGTTAAAGCAATGAATTCTAAGCATCTTTGTTCTAGAGTGTTTAAATTTGGGTCTATTGTTACCCCGGAATGGATTGGAAGACACTGTGTTATTGAGATAGCAAATAAGCCCGAAGTTAAACTTAGGGAGATGATCAGTGACATCAAACAAAGATGAAGATGTGTGGTATCTATGGGACAGGTTAGAAGGGAAAAACAGTGGGCAAAAGAACTGAATGAGGGTAAATTAAATGAACACTATGCAAGAATTTGGGATTGTACCCAAGAGTTATTGAGATCAAACCCTGGGTCTACATGCAAAGTTGGTGTTACTAACAATCCAGATGATAAGAATTATTATAAAAGGTTTTACATATGTTTCAAATCTTTAAGTTTTTGCTGGAAAATAGGGTGTAGGAAGGTAATAGGGTTGGATGGATGCTTCCTAAAGGGTCAGGTAAAAGGTGAATTACTGACAGCCATAGGTAGAGATGCTAATAACCAGGTGTTCCCAATAGCTTGTGCTGTTGTTGATATGGAAAACAAGGATAACTGGACCTGGTTTCTGGAGCTTCTGAAGGATGATCTTGACCTTGGTACTGGTGTAGATTTGGTTTTTATTTCTAATCAACATAAATTTAGTTCCCTTATAATTATAGTATATTTCAATTTGATTATTTCAATATGGTTATAAATACTAAGATAATATGTTTGTTCACAGGGTTTGCTTGAATCTGTTAAGGTTATTTTGCCACATGTGGAGCACAGGCAATGTGCTAGACACATTTATGCAAATTTTAATAAAGCTTTCTCTGGATTGGAGTTGAAGAAGTTGTTATGGGCTTGTGCAATGAGTTGTGTTGAAGGTTACTTCTTGAGAAACATGGAAAAAATAAAGACCATAAGCCCTAGTGCATATGAGTATCTAATGTCAAAAGAACCCAAAACATGGTGCAAAGCTTACATGAGTGTAGGGTTTCCTTATGAGGCAGTGGAGAATGGTATTTCAGAGTGTTTCAACTCCATAATTGTAGAATCTAGGAAAAAACCTTTGATTACAATGCTTGAAGAGATAAGGATATACATAATGGATAGGTTTTCCTTTATGAATGATGAATGCAGTAAATGGAAAGGTAATATATGTCCATAGGTGATTAAGAAGATGAATCTTTTTAGAAAGAACTTTAGGTAAGACACAAAATAATTGTTTCTTTTTCTAACTATCATTATAATTGACATATAATGACTAATACATACTCTTTTGTCTTCATGTAGGCTTTGGTTAGTAGTACATAGCTTAGGAAATGTATTTGAAGTGAGAAGAGCATGTGCTAGTTACAAGGTAGATTTGGGTGGTAGGGTTTGTTCTTGCAGGTTATGGGATTTGTCTGGAATCCCTTGTATCCATGCCATAGCAGCCATTAATTATATCCATCAAACTCCAGATGGATATATTAGTGACTACTTTTCAGTGAATAAATTCAAGGAATGCTACTCAAAAAACATCAGTCCTATGAATGGGAGTAATATGTGGCCTCTAACTGGATACGACAAGCCTTTGCCACCTGTTGGTAGGAAAATGCCTGGTAGTCCCATAACCAAAAGAAGGAGGCATGCAAGTGAGAAAGAGAGTAAGTTTAGTTCCACTTCAAGGGTGAAACCCCCAAGGATAGTAAGATGTGCTAATTGTCTTGACTATGGGGATAATAAAAAAAGGCTGCAAGAATGAAAAAAAGGTACCAGTTCCTATGCCACCAAAGAAGATTGGGAGGCCTAGGAAATGTGTTGTAGCTGGATCCAATCCACATGTTTCTGTACCCACTCAATCTAGTCAATAAGCAAGTCACCAGGGCAGTAAACCACTTGTGACATCATTTGTAAGCACTCAACCTAGTCCACAAGCAAGTCAACAGGGCAGTCTGCATGCTTCAAGTTCTAAAATTGGCAAGAAAATGAGGAAATTAGGTTTAAGAGGCCCAAGTTTCAAAGTTGGTGACATTGCATCTGTGGGTACTTGTTCAAGTGAAGTAACTGTCCCAGATGTTAAAAGGAAGAAATTGGCTGTAAGAAGGCCAATTAGGAAGTCAACAACCAAATTTCAAGATGAAGTCAACAACCAGGTTCCAAATGAGGTTGCTCAAGCTCCTGCTCTTAATGATGTTCCTTTGGTGAATGAGATGATAGAAGAGGAAGAAACTAAGGTGTCAGTGAAGGTGCCAGAGCCAATTTTTAATGAAGTTTATTTGGTCAATAACCAAGTTCCATCTATTAATGATGTTCCTTTGGTGAATGAGGTGATAGAAGAGGAAGATGACATTATGGTGATAGAAGAAGAAGTAGTTATGGTGCTGGAAGAAGAAGTAGTTGATGTTCCAGTAAAGGTTGCCCAAGATCTAAAACAAAGTCTTGATGAACTTGGAGATGCAATTGATCAAATTCTTGGTTCTAGAAATGCATCTGATGTTCCATTGGTGAATGAAGGTGGTGCATAACCTGAATTCACTGAAGGACATGCATCAGATGTTCTCCCAGATAAAATCAAGATAAGTGTCGAAGAAATAGCAAATTTACTTGAAGCAGGATATTCCATGTGTGAAATTGAAAGCATGGGGTGGTTGGAAATTGAACTTGATGACACTCCACCAGTTGAGATGGTAATTTATTAACCTTGTAATTTTAAATATGTGTTATTTATTAACCTTGTTATTTCTTGCATCGGGACTTAAATGCAGATGAGCCTGATGTTGATGAAGGTGAAGCTGGCTTTGTAAATGATGTTCTAAATGATGGTGGTGTGATTGAAGGTGAAGGTGAAGCTGACTTTGTAAATGATGGTGATGTGATTGAAGTTGAAGGTGTTGAAAATCAAGATGATGGTGATGTGATTGAAGGTGATGGTGATGTTCTAAATGATGGTGGTGTGATTGAAGGTGAAGGTGTTAATCATGGGAATGAGGTTGCTGGTGATGTTCTAAATAATGAGGTTGCTGATGATGGGAATGTGGCTGATGATGAAGGCCATCTGATAGTGCCTAAGACAAGGAAAAGAAAGCCATCAGAGAGGATCACTAAACTAAAGCTTGAAAATACAGTTTTTGATAAAGATGGGGGTGGTTCCACATGTTCAAATCCAGTGAATCTGGAGTAGTTAGTTATGTATATGGGGGATTTAGGTGGGAATGGTATACTTGGGCATTTGCACAGGAAGCCCTTTTTGGTACATTTTGTACATCTTAGTTTATACACCCACTAAGTGCACCTTTCATCCAGTTGTTCTCATGTACCTTTTGGGTTGCCTTTTTGGGATATATTTTTGGCAATTTGGTACAAATGGACGGATGGTACATGTTAGTTGATCTTTTGTAATCTTTTGTGTTGGTACATGAATATGATGTAATGAATCCCCTCATTATGGTTATAATATGTTTGTTATGTTTGTTATTTTATACTATGCTTTTTTATCCATACCATTGGCATATATATTATGTACCGTTTGTAACTACAGTTAACCAATTTCAGCATTGTATTTTACCATTTAACAATTTAATGTATATTATGAATCATATGTTTGTTATGTTTACCATTTACATTTCACAAATAATTTGTATTTTACCATTACAAACATTTCATCATGGCAAAGCCCAATTGTTGTATGAGCTCTAAGTAGCTATTCCTACTTAATCTTTCTAGTAAAACTTCCCCTTCTTATCACCATGCAATAATACAAAAAGTTGTAAGGAAAGATTGCAAAAGTTTACATGGAAAATCTACATTTTTCTGATTTCAACTTTTTAGTTTACAACCAGGAAAAAAGATGCATACATCTGATCTGATCTGATCTAAATCCTTTATTTGTTGTGAATAACTGATCTGGTAGTAAGAGATGATCTCATGTCAACAATGGCAGATTCATCAGCACCCAAATTGATAGCTTCTTTGCTAGCAGTTATGAATCTTGAAACTGCACCTTTTACATACGTATAAGCTTCTTTCACATTCATTTTGTTTCTCATTTCATCTGGAAAACTACTCAAGAAATGATCACCATTAAGAACAACAGTAAAATAATATAAAGTCACAACATTCTACCATTCCAAAACAATAGTTACTAGCCAACTTCAGCATTGTACTTCCATTTGCAACAAAAATCAATCCAAACATTCTACCAAAAGCCAAGTCGACCCAAACATTCTACCAAAAGCCAATCCAAAATGATTTACATCTTCAAAAAAACAATTGTCACCATTACAAAAATAAGAACCAAAAGACCTACAATTATTTCTACCAAAGTCTTCAATTGTCCATGCCCCTGCATCTGCTTTGTGTGAGTTGGGTCGATAATGTGGCCATCTTCTTCATCGTACCATTTGAAAAAACCACAGTCCTCTTCCTCCACCTAGAAAAACAATAATTTGTATTAATTACATACAAATTAGGGCAAATTGTTTCAAGGTTTCTTCATTGTACCATTTCAAGGCTTATCAAGAAATTTACAAATTAGGGAAAATTGTTTACCTTGTAATTAGGGCACCTGTAAAACTTCTTTCCATAGTTCTCAAGTGTTCGAGCAACAGATACCTTGCACACATCTCCACAGCCACATCTAACTACTCTTTTCTTTCTCAATGTTGGACCACCTTGGAAGCTTGATTTGGCAAACGAAATTGACATTTTACAGATACTTAGGGTAGAAGACGGGGGAGAGAATAGAAGACAGTGGAGGGAAAGACTTTCGATCAATGTTAACGGAAAAAGAGTATGTTTGGGGCTTAAAAGGGTGGATGTAACCGGTTGATTAAGGGAACCAGTAAAACACATTAAATGAAACATGAGGGGCAAATGTTAGGCATCTGTGGCAAAAAAAATCGATTTTGGGCATAACCGGTTTTTTTATGTAAATATGGGGGCTTTTATGACAAAAACCCAAGTTTATATGTTTGATACTAGTGTTATTTTGGTAAGTTTTGACTTGTTGCTCACTACGACCATCCCTCGTCATACATTAGTCTGATTTCGGATAAATATAGTTGATCAGGCTATTTTCATCCCAAATCCGATTACATATTCCGAGACCTAGTCGTAGTGTCCAACTTGTCTTAATACTTCTTTTATAGTTCTAACTATGAAAATGACTCGTTGTATGCATGTATTTGTGCTTTTACGACCCAAATAACTTAAGCTAAATGAAATACGGTTTTGGTGTAAAAACGTTTTGTCAGAGAGTTTTAGTCCCAATGCATTTATAGTTTGTATATCTTATGTGGTTCGATATACTTAGTTCACTATAAACAACGCTCTGATACCAATCTGTCACACCCCCAAACCAGATTCATGTAGTATCGTAACAGTTGAATACGTAAAGAAAGTAAACACAACCATCATATATATAATTTAAGAGTTACATTATTGAATGATACTTGTTTCAAAAACAAATTACAATATGATGACAAAATGAGTTTAAAACTGATGCCATAGCATCACTTCTCCAAAAGCTGATGTTTACCTGTGTTACTGTATCTCTGAGAAATACAAGTAAATTTGAAAGAGTAGATCAGCATTTAGGCTGGTGAGTTCATAAGTTTTTAATGTCAATGTTTGTATATATTTAAATGAATTTGTTTGTAGATGTTTGAAAACTCCTAGAACATCTCATATTCCCTACTAGTATAAAAGTAGTCTTCTACTCAGACCCGACTGTTTCGAATGTTGGTTCTAAAATTTCCAATATTTTTCCATAAGTGTAAGGTAGTTAAAAAGTTCCAAAAACTATTATGCATTAGTGTTTTTCATGCGTAGAATAGCAGATTTATGTATGTAAAAGAGTCGCTAAGGCATTAGATAACCCCCTTAAATCAACGTGTCTTTAATACTCCATGTGAGTTTTATAACTATACTATTGACCCTGACTGCCTGTAACAACGTTCTTCAGGCATTGGTATGTTATGACGTTTGTCACCCCAGACCTGCCGGTCTAACTGTAGCTAACAGTTTAGGTGTGGGATTGTCAATCTCGTATAAATCTATACACAAGTATCACGCTCTCCCTACAAGAGATTATGGTATATAATACAGGACTTTAACTACATACTTGAAAGTACGTGAAGTTGAATGTCTCACAAAACTTAGTATCAAATAGATTTACGTATGAAAAGTTCATTTGTTCTTGTTTATGAAAGTATTTCCCTGATATAGTACTCATAGTTTGTAAAATCTCTTGAATATCTAGTAAACTATACCTATTATAGTTTTTCTCAAATGTATGATTCGTTCGTATGATAAACCCTAGTGCAGTATCAGCTTGGTATGTAGGTATAACATTTGTAATAACATTTTTGAACGTTTTCATATGATAGTTATGAATAACATATGATTTGTTATATAAGGATAAGCGTAGTAAAAGCTTAATGTTTTCCACACGAGAGTAACCGTGTGTTTACTTGTTTTCTCTCTCTCTCTCTCTCTCTCTCTCTCTCTCTCTCTCTCTCTCTCTCCCCACACACACACACCTTTAAAAGTGTATAAAAGCATTTATAAAGCATTTGAAAATGTAGTTGTAGGGGTATGAACTCACTTGATAGACAGAAGAAGATAAAATGAAAACTGAGCAGAACTTCGACTAGGGAAAGTTGAATTTCTCGGGATTATTGGGAATCTCGGGGGTGAAAAACCTTCCTTCGGAACTTAGATATGAATATCGTGGCTTCGAGATGGCCTCAGGGGGTTTAAGCGCAGTGCTTTGGCACGAGAGAGAGAGAGAGAGAGAGAGAGAGAGAGAGAGAAGAAATGAGCAATGGAACCCAACACCTTCGGCTGCTATTTATAGCCCAAATCTGGTCCCCACGTCCTGGTACACCTCACCACGTCGTGGTGAGGGATTCTATCCTCTTCCTTTGACGAGACGTTTTCTGACGCACCTGGCACCCATCAATCACAATACCACGTCGTGGTGGGCCTGACAGCCTCGGATTTTGTGCTGAAAACTTGTAAAATACGTAACTTCCGCGTATGAGCTCCACTTTTAACATTCTTTATATCCACGCGTAGGTGAGATTATGCTCTATAACTCTCTTTTAGACTCCGTCAGCAAATTTTGAATTTTTTATTTATTTTTATTTATTTTTAACGGACCGGGACACGCAAAGTCCGTTAAAAATCCATAACTTCTTCATGTGAGGTCCGTTCTTGTCAGAATTTATACCGTTGTGCTACTATTGTTGAGATCTTCGATTCTCATTTAGGTTGTATCGGATAAAAATCTCTTGATCTCTATTTCGAGTATTTTAGCTGTCTGCTGCTATATTCGAAACTTGGAAAAATCATAACCTTCTCATACGAAGTCAGATTTGGACGTTCTTTTATATACGCCTATGGTCTAATGATATCTACAACTTTCATTTAGATACCTAAGGCTAAATATAATTGTATTGAAACTTCGCGTTTTACGCTTATCAGTATTGCCGGTTTTTACTATGATTCTTAGTTTGGTCATAACTTCTTCGTTATAACTCGGATTTCAGTGTTCTTTTTCTGAAACCCTTGATACGATGTTTATCATTTTATGTAACCCAATAGATACTTTTGAACATTCAAAATTTGATTCAAATTTCATTACATTAAAAGAGATTACAATCCTTGACTTTCTAGGTCATTACATCGATTCGAAAAATATCGGATTGTCACACCATTGCATCATGCTGGCGACTATGGCTGCGAAACTCCAGAAGTCCTATGAGGACATGTATCCCTATGAGATGCATCAAGATCTGTTGTACCGGTACCACTAAAGCGCTAGCAAGAAATGTACGAGATTATCACTTCGATGATCACTTCCAAAATGGGTAATGGAGAGTCCCTTACCGCTCATCTGCAAAAGATGCGGAGATATGTTGATCGCCTGCTAAAGTTAGATGTTAACTTGGATGAAGAGTTGGCAATTAAGATCATCCTTCACGCATTGCCTCCCTGCTACAAGCAGTTCTACATGACCTACTACATGAATAAGGAAGAGGTCACTTTGAGCAAGCTTCAAGGCTTTCTAAGGACTACTGAGAGCAATCTCAAAGATAAATCTATTGCATCAACTCCTATTCCTGCTGCTATCCCAGTCTTGGCAATTGGGCAAGGAAAGGTCAAGAAGAGGAAGGCTCCCTCAAAGAGCAACCGTAAGGGAAAGTCCCAAGAAGGTACCTCTTTTAGTGGAACCAATGTTGGTTCAGCTAAACCCAACTCTAACCCCCAAGGAAGCAGAGTGCCACTACTGCCATGAAATAGGGCATTGGAAACGAAGTTGCCCGAAGTATTTGTAAGATATCAAGGATGGAAAGATCAAGCCATCGTTCACAGGTATTTACACTATTAAATCTAATGATTCATCGCATGCTATTTCTTGGGTTCTTGATACAAGGTTTGGTTTTCAGATTTGTTCTGATTTGCAGGGCCTAAGAAGAAATAGAGATGTAGAGCAGAGGAAGATAAACTTGATCATGGGAAACAGAAGATCGTCACATGTCACCAAGATTGAAGTTTACTCGTTAGTTCTTAGTAATGGATTAGAATTAGATTTAAATAATTGTTGCTATTCGCTAGATATGGCAAGAAACACCATTTCTTTTCATGGTTTATATAGACAAGGATTTAGATATTCATTTGATAATGAAAAGGTTTCTATAAATGCTTATCTTAATGGTGTTTTCTATTTTGAAGCATTCCCTTGTAATGAAATATATGAAACTGTGATGATTGAAGATAATTTAGGAATTGATGTGCTTTGTATTCATTCTTCCAATAGTTCGGATAAAGCATGCTTGTGACATTGTCGTCTTAGACATGTCAACAAGTAACGCATATCCCAACTCTAAAAGGATGGAGTGTTGGAGTCATTCGACCTTAGGGACGATGACGTGTGCGATTCTTGTCTACTTGGAAAGATGAACAATTCACCCTTTACTGGAAATTGTGAAAGGGGTAAGGGTTTATTGGATCTCATACACACTAATGTGTATGGGACCTTTAGATCCACCACAAAGGATTCGAACCGCTTCTATGTGACTTTCACCGATGAATATAGCAGATATGTGTATATTTACTTAATCAAGCATAAGTCACAAACCTTTAAAAAGTTCAAAGTGTTTAAACAAGAAGTGGAGAATCAATTGGGCAGGAAAATCAAGATACTTTGATCTGATCAAGGTGGAGAATACCTAAGTCGTGAATTCCACGGCTACCTCAAGGAATGCGGAATCGTTTCACAATTGACACCACCTAGGACACTGCATTTGAATGGTGTGGTTGAGAGGCATAATCGAACCTTGCTAGACATGGTTCGTTCCATGATGAGTCGTGCTTTGCTACCTATCTCATTCTGGGGGTATGTCTTAGAGACTACGGCCCATATCCTTAGCTTAGTCCCTACCAAGAAGGTTGTTAAAACACCTCACAAGATGTGGGCGGGAAAGCTCCTTTGTTGGCACATATCAATGTTTTGGGTTGCGAGGCTTTAGTAAGACGAGAGACTCACGACAAGCTCTTACCTCGTAGTGAGTGGTGTATTTTCATAGGCTACCCACATAAGTCCTTTGGATATCTCTTCTATAGACTGAGTGACAATGGTGTCTTCATCACGAGGAGAGGGGTTTTCCGAGAGCGAGAACACATAAGCCAAGGGGACAGTGGGAGGAAAATAGATCTTGAAGAGATTCAAGAGTCAAGCAATAAAGGAACCTCTAACATTGGCACTCAACTCAAGGAAGAAACCCCGGTTGAACCGATTGACAATTCCTTACCTCTTAGACGTTCTGAAAAAGTTAGGGTTCAACCCCAGTTTTATGGTTTCCATATTACTATAGAAGAGGATATGTTCATTAGTGATAGTACACTAGTGAATTTGGACGAACCTAACAACCATAAGGAAGCCATGGTAGGCCTAGAGTCTGCAAAGTGGAAAGAGGCGATGGACAGCAAGATTCAGTCCATGTATGAT